ATATCTCCAGAGAAGGGGACTCCATAGCCTCCCTGGGCAGCCTGTTCCAGTGCTCCGTCACCCTCAGAGGGAAGAAGTTCTTCCTCATGTTCAGACGGAACTTCCTGTGCCTCAGTTTGTGCCCATTGCCCCTTGCTCTGTCACTGGGCACAGCTGACATCAGGGAAGATAGAAATTTACTAGCCAAATTTTGAGAAAAGCCTTTGCATAATTAGAGGATGGAAGTGAAAAATGGGTATCATGGTTTAGCAAATGCAGCCGATGATGCACTTCATCCTGTTGGATCCATCTGTCTTTGTGAGGTTATTTTTTCAGCTATGACAGCCATTAAAACCGAGTAATGAAATAAACTGAACTTAGAACCAGACCTTCAAATTGCCATATTACACAGTGTTAAACCAACATTTTAAAAAATAACAAAGCATATTCAATCACATAGCTCTCACTCAAAAATATTAATATTTTTAAGTGAGAACAAAAAAGTTTTTTGTATCATTAGTAAAATGTTATTTTAAAAATAGTTCTTAATCTTTATCTCATGCTTTTTAAATGTTTTTTGTGTATATTTTATAATGTACATAATATATTAGTGCATCGGTGTATTTTACAAATATACTGGGTGTTTGTGCTCAAAATTTTTTTGTTCACAGGAGTGTAGGATCAACAAAATTTGGAGACCGCTGCACTATAGTGCCCTCCCTCTGTGTCAGTACCTGCTCATCATTTCTTTTTCTTCATGCTAATTAAGGTCCTAAATAGAATAACGTAATATAAACTTATTTTTTTTTAGTCACCGGTGTTCTGCAAATGAAAGAAGTGGAGGTTTCTTCTACAATGTTTTTAATACTTCATTAAAGAATATTAACTGCAAAGGTGTTTTTTCATATTGATTAAAGAATTAGTTAAGCACAATACCGTTTCAAAATTCAAACAGAAATTTGTTTTTTTAATATTCTTTTTCTCATAGAGCAGAGTCTCAGTGTGATATTTCATGGTTCACACTCCCTCAAAAAGCTTTTAAATCAGGTTTTTCTTATGATTTAGTAAGAGCTGGAAGATTCCCAATTACGCAGTAGGATTGCGTCCTAAACGATGAGATGTGGCTAATAATGCAAATATGTATTTATTAAATTTGATGTAAATTTTTTAGCCTAGACCTGCATTTATTAAGTCAAACATTTTAGATAAGAAAAAATGTCATTGTTTTGTGGCCTCCCAGTATTACATCTCGCTTTCATAATTTTTTTGATAAAAAAATAATGATTCATTTCTGGGATTTAAAACAATATATGAAAATTACACTTAGTTCTGCAAAACTGTGCAGTTGAAAGCATTTGGTAATCTTCAGCTCTAGACTAGGTGAATCAAATCTCTGTGGGAAACAAAGCTTGGTGTTCTTTCTTGTAATGATCAGAGGTTAATCCTTTGGAGAGCAGGAGGACAGAACTGCCATTGAAACATCCCGGGTAACACGGAGACTGGACACTTTCTCTTTCATGGTCTTCGTGTAAGCACACATAGTGCTTTTGTTCCATGGAATATTAAGAAAACATTGGGCAACTCGTGGTCTTTATCTTTTACAAGATTATAAAACATGAAAAAAACCCGCACAAAACCATGAAAACTGGTGAAACAGAGGTCATCCATGGAAAATCATACATTTGGGTTGGTGTTGTTTTGTTTTTTTATTTGACAAGCGTAGCATAAACTCAGATTAATCCCTTTTGATTTATGTGGCGTTTAGTTTATGAAGGCTGTGGCTGTGTCTTTGATAAATATGTGTTCTGCCATATGTAATGCTGTTGAAGAGATGTAATTAGACAGAGTGGTGGTAGTTAGTCTTGAAGAACTATGCAGTGACTTTGATACCTGAGCCACAAAACTGTCACAGGGTAAGACTCTGGCATTGTCCTGTGACAGTCGCATCCCCGTGACTCAGTTTAGTCATGTCATGCAGTAACTCAATGATGAGAACATTGCAAAGAAATGTAAAGACACTGTGCTGAGAGTTAGTTGTGTTAGAGCAACTTGAAAAAAATGGGCGTAGTTCTGGCATTGGTTATAAATAACTGGAAGTATTCATGCACTGGAATAAATTCCATTCCATTTAAGTCAAGTTTTCTGTTATCCCATACTGTACTAGAACTAAAGAAGTTGTAACAACCACTATCACTTTAATCTGGTAGTCTCTGAAATCATAGGAAGGTGTTACAAAGGAGTACTTCTATAATTTGCTCACAAAATGTTATATTTTGTTGCTAATAATGGAAATGTGAAGTTACTATAAAGTATTCCTGAGGGTGATGAAGGTAATGATGAGTTGTATTGCAGTGATAATTTGGGAGCCCCAGCTGAGCTGTGGGCCCCTCTGCTCCAAGCATTACACAAGTATGTAGTAATTGCAGCCTTTGCCAAAGATTGAATTCTAAATAGGCAAGAGAGAAAATGTGGGAAGAACTGACACACAACAACAGGTATTAAACATAAACATATTTCATATGAATAGCAAGTTTTGTTTTTAAAGACAATATATTCAAATTACATAAAATGCCACATTATGCATTTTGAAATATTAGTCTTCTATTTTAATGCCCTGCTGTTTGCAGGGATTGAATACCTGAAAGGATTTCGAGTAATACTTGAGGAGTTAAAATCAGAGGGAAGACAATGCCAGCAGATGGTTTTAAAAGATCCAAAGCAGCTCAGCCCCAGTTTCAAACGAACAGTAAGTGCTTTGTCTCAAGAAAAGTTTCTTTGTTTCTTGATTGTGTAAGTAATCTTGAATGTGTTTATCTGCTGCGTTTAAATCTAAATATGTCTCTGTCTAAATATATACACAGTGTGCTGTTCACTAGGATGCAGGTTGCTTCCTAAAAGTATTATTCTTTAAATTAATGATAGTTGTTGATCTAGGCACAGATCTAGTCCTCTTCTATAGACACTTTCATGAAGCTGGACACTGTCATTTGGGTGACTCTGGAGTACAGGTGCACATCTGTAGTAGTCCACATCCAACTCTGCACTGAGATTCCTCACGTCAATGTGTAATGGAGGGGTAGATAAAGAATTGTTAATGTATTGATTTCTGCTTATGTTTGCAAAACTGTGGGCTTGTTTTGAAAGATACTTTCAGTTATAATTGTTGATTTTAAGATATGTTGCAATCTTGTCTTTTTGTAGGGAGTGGAATCTCAGCCCTTTGTAAATCTGAAGTTTGAAACAGATTACTTTTTAAAGATTGTTCCTTTTCCTTCTGTTAAAAATGAAAGTAATTATCACCCATTTTTCTTCCGAACTAGACGTAAGTATTGCATACAATGTAGTATTGCATATCATCTCTTCCCCAGTGGGTGCCCCCCCCCCTTTTTTTTTTTCTTTTTTAGTTTTCCCAACAAAGGAATGTAATAGGTGATGATGTTAGATCTTTTTTAGTTTTCCCAACAAAGGAATGTAATAGGTGATGATGTTAGATGCGTCTGGGTTAAGATAGTTACTGACCTAGTCTTTGAAGGAAGATCTGGATGTTAAGTGGAAAGAATTCAGATGCCACAAATAAATTTGTGGTGTATGATAATACGTGTTAGACAACAACCAGAAGAAAAGTCTTAGGCAGGCTTGAGATTATCTCAGGTTTGCCTGCAGCAGGATTACTCCCATGGGTCTCAGGAACATTTGACTCATGAAGATGGTTTGCTCCTTCTCTCTGGACATTATGAAGATGCTCAGGTTGGTTTTGGTTTTGAGATCACAGTTTCAAAAACAGATACCTAGAGACAGATATAGATGAGTACATTATAAAATTAGATAGCAACAAATCAAGTTGAATTTCTCAAAATTACTTAGCAATTCTCACTGAAGTTAGAGAGAAAAAACTTGAATAAGCTCATCAGTGCTTAAATAGTATGATGAGAAACTGCAAGTACCCTTTGGGGTGAAATGTTGATATTTGTCCTACTTAGGTGTTTTTTCCCTTTAAAACTTTCTAAAAACATTTTCAGGTCTGTCTGTTGATGCAGACCACAATAACATTTATCTTTGTAATCGTGCTCAGCATATTTTTTTACTCTGAGTAAATGTATTTAAGGCTCGTTTCAACTTCCTTTCCTGCTGTGCTGTGTCTGGTGCTATCCCTTTTATCTCACTAAGGAATGCTATTTTCAAATTAATGAACCTATGTTTCTCATATAAAGATGAGAAGGAACTTGAAGTCATAACAAAGAAGTGAAGTTTGCGAAGTATATTTACTCCAGGCATATTAGAGACTGGGAAAGAAATGGGGATGCTGTCTTCAAAATCATGAACTCCCTTCTTTTGCCTTTGTTCTTTTTCTGTTTAAATAGCATAGCATTTTGATACTGTATCATTAACAATTTTTGTGTGTTTTTATAGCATGTGAATTGTTGCTACAGCCAGAAAACCTTGTCTGCAAACCTTGTAAGTAAAATGTAATACTTTCTGTATATTCATCTTACAAATTACTGTACTTGAAGAGTCACGTTTTTCCAATTCATTAATATCTCCTCTGACAGACTGGAAGCCCAGGAATTTGAATGTTACCCAGCAGGGTTTTAACATGCACGTGTCGTTTGATCATGCACCTCACAGCTTTGGGTTTAGATATTACTTTCTTCACTACAAACTTAAGCACGAAGGGCAATTTAAGCAAAAGACCTGCAAACAGGTACGTCACTGAGTTTTGCCAACTCTTCAAAGCACAAAACCTATTAACATTAGATGCTCTAAGGTTTTATAGAAACTTTAAAAATTTAAGACAATATAGAATACTATCAGTTTTAAATTTTTAAAACTATTTTATACTATTTATGTAAATAATAATTCTATTGTGATAGCACTCAGCAGTCAAAATCAGGATTGAGGACTCCATTGGAGCTTGAAAGTATAAGCAAATGGGAAGAGACTGTTTTATTACGTTTGTTATACATATGATTTCCTACTTTTTAATTTCACCTTTGCACCAAATTTGACCACTTCATAGATTACCCATCTGAGATGGTATCACAATATAGCTCTTATTTTAGTATGTGCATGGAATTAGGCTCTCTGTGGTTTCGTATGGCTGCGTGCTTACATCTTATTGTGGGAGCTGCAATTTGCTGTATAATTTTCCTTAACTTTGGTTAGTATTCAATGGCAAGTTTGTTCTCATTGGTCAACCTTTCATCCTAAGTCTCTGAAAGCTAGTTAGCTTCATGGGGGCATAATGTAGAGTTTATGTATTAGACCAAACTTTTAAGAGTTTTTTTCGATAATTAATCATAGTTTAGTTCTGCAGGCAGAGGGTTGTAGTCCTTGTATGTTTGAATGGAGAGACTTAGTTTTGCTTGTTTAAGGTGTCCTAGTACAGGAGGGGACTGTATATTTCTAAATCAATGTGAATGTATTTTTTATTAGGTTTTAAAAGTATGTGAATGGCTTGCAAAATATTCTTTCTTTGATACAGGAGCAAAACACAGATACTACAAGTTGTATTCTTCAGAATGTATCTCCAGGCGATTATATAATTGAGGTAATATTTATAAATAGTCATTTGTATAACAGCTAAATGAGTACGTTAATGAAGGAATTAACTGAAATTCAAGTATTTCAAGTCACTTCTTGATAAAAGCGGACTTCAGGCATCCTTACTGAATTACCTTGGGGAAGTAAAAGTTTTTAGACAGCTTGTTCTTGACCTTTCCATAGCTTTTCTTCCCTGAGTGCATAGCAGTTTCACCTGTGCCTTCACATAAAGTTGTGGGCCTGCAAAAATCTTGGACTTTATTTTTTTTTTAATTGGAATTCTGTAGTTTGGTCAATTTTTATTGTACTTAAAAAGTGGATATTTCTCCTGATGATGACAGTATGAAATCTGTAAGTTACAACATTAAACTATGTACCAACAAAGACAAATGATTTCCCTAATTACTAGTTTGTGGTGCTCTTTGATTTTAAATTTTGAACAGTAAGTTTCTTCACATTTGGTGATGAAAGCTGTTATAGTTGTTTACATATTGCAGAAAATCAATAAATTTCCACAAAATAAAATTCAACTTTTACTTTTCAAAGCTGGTTGATGACACTAATACGACAAGGAAAACAATGCACTATGCGCTAAAACCAGGTATGAATTTTGGTTTTTTTAAACAGCATACAGTATTTACCATATTAATTTAAATTCAGTTTTAATTATGTTGGAAATAGATTTTGATTTGACCTGTATGTTTGCCGTAATCAAGACTACTGAGGGAATTGTGCTGTGATCTTCTGACCTAATGAAAAAAGAGTAGACATGCACACTTGTACATATACGTCTGCCTCTTTGTACGTATATATTTAGCACAGTTTAGATCAATATATCATTGGAAATCTTTGTGGGAAAGTCACTTTTGTTGTATATATGGATATGAAGAATCATAGCCTGTATCTTAATTGCGTGCAACTGATAGGTACCTGCAGTAGTGTGGAAATAATGTAATGAAACTGTGAGAGCAGCCTAAATGCATTACCTGCCTGCATACTTCAGCCCTGAAATGAAATTGAGCAGTCTGGAAAACCTGTCAGGTGGATGCTTAGCATGTCTGTATCAGACCAGTTACTGAGAAGCTAAATAAGGATTTCAGAAAGTAACTGCAGACGCAAAACATTGCCACAGACGGCGGCAATGGGCAAAAATGGACTGAATCCTAACGCACATTGCTACAGATAATCTGCGCAGGAAGACAATTCTTTCTAAGTGGCTAGCTCAGCACCCTGCGACAAAAATCTGACAGGTCTGAATGACTATTGCATATCTTACCAAAACCAAACTTCATGTGAAGTTCTTCTCATGGGAGGAGGTATGAGTTGGCATACGGCTCTTCTTACTGTGTTAGTTGCTCTGATGCTGTGGTGACGGGAGCAATCAGCATGAAACCTATTTGAAATGGAGCAGAACATGATGCTTGATTCTACTATATATTTGGGAATTACCTGATAATAATGAACTGCAGCAGCTTGACATTCCCAGTGTGATGATTTGTTTAGATAATTATGATATAGCTTATTTGCATATGGCTAATTATGCTTTATTTTTCAAAGTACATTCGCCGTGGGCTGGACCGATAAGAGCTATTGCCATTACAGTCCCTTTAGTTGTCATTTCAGCATTTGCAACGCTTTTCACAGTGATGTGCCGCAAGAAACAGCAAGGTAAGAGGCTTTATTCAATACAGAGTTGCATTTAAAGACGCACTTTTGCAACCAAAAAAGTCTTAACTGCTAGGTTTATTCCAGAAGTACCTTTATCTGAAGAACTTTCTACCTCTTTCCTTCCTCTCCACAGTTCTTTTGTGTGTTGAAACCTGTAGCAAATTTGTAATCAGTGTCTGATGGTAATTTGTTGCCATAGAAAGTATTGTATAACAGATCAAGACTTCACTGTAGAAAGGAGAGAATGAAAGAGCTGTTGGGAAATATTTTTGGTTTCAAGTTTTTTTTTTTTTATTTGTGAAAGTACTGCGTGACTGCGTAGAATACAAACAGATCTGTAATTTGATACATTTTAAACATTCCCTCATTTAATTCAGAAATATCTAATTTATATTTATTTTAAACCAGAAGGAAAGTAAAGCCGTGTGATGACAGTACAGTCCTCAGCACTGTCTAGAATACTACCTGTATCTGTTATTCCAGATTTGCACACTTTCCTGGAAGTTGCCTGTATACTTCATCCTAAGCCGTCTTCCTAAATTTACTCTTTCTGAGACTTACTTGCAGATGTTTCTCTGAAATAGATTCTATCCCTCTTTGCTGACTTCTCTCTCCTATGTGTCCAGGAGCTGGCAAGCCACATTTGTTATGCTGAGATGTTAAAAATCAGTTGGCATTTTTTTGTAGAATCTAGGGAATCATGCAGTTTCATTAATATGGAAAAAGAGATTACTTCCCCAAACCTCACACATCTGTGTTATCCATCTGAATTTTGGCATTGAGGTGCAGTGCAAGTGCTGTATGCCATCCGGGTTAAATCCTTTTACCTTCTGGTCTTCTGTGGTTGTCCCTTTGCTCACAGCTAGCACAGTTCCAACAGAAAAAAACAGGCAAATCACTAAGGATTTGTCTACAGAGAGAGTTGTTCCAGAATAGTTATTGCTGATGAATTGTTCTAAATTAAATTCCTAGATGGATAATTATATTTTCAAATACTCATGCTTTATTTCAAATTAGCTTAATCAGCTGTGGAACTAGATTGAATTAGTCTATTAGTCTGATGTAGGCCCAGACTTTTACGTTCCAGCATAAGAGCATATATATAAGGAAAGAAACACCAATAGCTATTTTGATTTAAATTAATCATATCTTAATTCAAATTAATGTCCAAATGTGTGTTTATATATATACCAGAGAGATATACTGTATGATATTCTGAAGGGATCTGTATTCTGGAGTTTAATATTCTTACCTGGCTTGTGTCATGTTTGTTTTTTTTTTAAAAACAAGTCTTTGTTATACAGGAAACTCGTGATGATGGTACATCTTTAAGGTTTTGTAATATTTGAACACAGAAGTAAAGACTGTTGAAGGTGGATAGAGGCGAAACAACCTCATTCTATTTATAAAATAAACCCTTCTTGAGTTTACTGAGTTGTACAGTAATAACTGCACATTTCACTTTCAAAGTGTGTTCCACATATGTAGCAACTTATAAGCTGGATAAATAGAGTGTGTGTAAATTTTTCAGGCTGGAAAGGAAAGAAATATCTTTTGAAAAAAGTCATTACTGTATGCATTGGTAATGAGCCTACAAAAGTTTTAAAAAAAAACAAAACAAAACCAAGCTTTATAGTGTGAACTCTCTTTCTCTTTTGCAATTTAGAAAATATATATTCCCATCTAGATGAGGAGAGCTCAGAATCTTCAGCATATGCTGCAGGTCTCCATGTGGAAAGACTTCGTCCCCGGCCAAAAGTGTTCATCTGCTATTCCAGTAAAGATTGCCAGAAACACATTAATGTCATCCAATGCTTTGCCTATTTTCTTCAGGACTTTTGTGGTTGTGAGGTAAACTCAACATTTCTTCTGTAAAGAGAGTTTCCTTAACTGAAACAGCACCCCCAAAACTCAAAATAATATGCGCTTGAAAATGGGATATTTCAATCTCTCCTTTCCATAGAGATAACTTTTGTTATTTCTCTAAATATTTGCTATATAAATTTTCTTTACTTAGGGAACGGAACAGATCATAGCCTGCTTAAAAATAACAGAATAGTGGAAAATGAGTACCACATTGATTGCAGGACTTTCATTCAGCTGTGTTTAGCTTGTTTCATATGAACTGCTTTGGCTGCAAGTAGGTATTGCATCTTTATAGTTGGTAGCCACAAAAAGGTGTTAGTCTATCCGATACACTTCAGTATTCGTAAAATACCTTTTATGTTCTAATTTTAAAATAGTTGAATCTATCAAAACTCCTACTCATAGAGAAAAATCTGTGTAATTAGGATTAATAGTTGAAATTATGTATTCATTTTTATTGATGGTTTTTTTTTTTACTTCCCTTCTGTTCCATTAATGCTGTAAAATCAGCATGTCTTTTCCTGGTTTCCATTTCAAGCTATGAGAAGGCCATTCACATTGTTACTTTAAACAACTAGGCTTAGAATCTCAGGCTTGTTTCTAAAATATAATGAATATGTGACCGGTGTTTTGCTTTCCAACTGTACAACGGCAAGACAATTGTTAGTCTATTTTTGCTGTGTTTTAATCCTGCCACCGTGACTTTAAATGGAAGAACCGAAGCTGTTTTTTCGACTATGCAGCAAGGCTGAACTCTAGTGGCCAAGCACAGTAACGTGATCAATGCCTCGCATGTTTGGGGCTCTTCACTGTTTATTTGCGTTTTACATGGTTCAGGTAAGGTGTTTTATAGGTAACTTGCTTGAATCCGCCTTTTAGAGATGTGCTTTAGCCCTGCTACCACCATACCTCTTTGGAATAGTATTAAGGTGAGCTGTTAACCGCTATAATTATGTACCATGGAACATACAGTATCAGGCATCGTTTAAGATTTATATAACAAAATATTGATAGCACCTACATACAGAAATAATGGGTTGCTGTTATTAATATTAATAATATTAATTAATATTAACATATATGTTACATAATAGAACAAGTATTTTTCATGTGGAATTGGAATGTTTTCTTGTAAAGGACAAAACCAGTGGCATTTAACAACCATTTAAAATAAAAACTTGACCACACTAAAAATCCTTTCTCACAGATAGCAGATCGGACAGTATTCTGAAGAACAGAAAAAAAAACCAGTCACAAAAGTAAAACTACCTATACTGTACCTTTATCAGAGTATCTCCTAAGAAGCTGTGAAATGACTTCTCCTCCCCAAGCATAGAATAGAGTATTTCGGCTGGAAGGGACTCGTCAGGGCCGACTGCGTGACCGCCTCGGGCATGGTCACTTTGTGCCTGTAGCTGACTGTGCGGTAATGGTTTCAGGAGTCCTCCACCTACTCTCTGTCTTGTGACATGGCAAAGTTTTCCACTCTGTTATGGATGATATAGCAAAGCAAAAATACTTTGTTCTCTGGAAAAACGCTCGAGCGAAGACTTTACAAGTGATTTTGATGAGTGTCTATTCTGAAAGTTTTTTTGCATCTTTTTTCTGTTATTGTACTGCTCCTTCTTTCTTTAATGACATAAAGCATTGTGTCCTGCATCTTGGGGTACACAGGCATTTCAGACCATGTAGAACGTTCAGAAAATTTGACAAAGTACAAAATAAAACAAATCTTATGATAAAATGTGCAGAGCTTTCTTATCAGAGATAACCTGCTGCTGATTTGCATCCTAACTCAGAGGACTCAGTGGTACAGGCACTAATGATGTTTGTATCTAGATATGAAAATTCTTGGCATCAGACTTCATTAATATGGAAAAGATGATCTATGAATATGGATTTCCATTACATTCAGCACATTAAGGACTGAAGTATACAACCGTTAAATTGTTTGAGGCAGGCACAATACATTGTTTATTGTGGATTGACAGTATCTAATTTGATCAGAAAAGTAAATAGTAATTTACTTGGTCCAGCCACATTTTCTATGTTCTTTTTATTGCCCTAGAAATATTGCTATATACCAAATCCATAGTAGTTTTATTTTTTAAGAAACTACCCAGTTTACATTCAGCTACTTAGCTTTGCACTGTCACTCTGTTACTTGTTGCTTCCATAAATTTACATGTAACACATGTATAAATAGGTATGTTTTTCTTTAAGTAATAAATATGCAGCAAAATGCATTCATATATCATTCTTTGTTTGTTTTTAAAAAAAAAAAAAAGCCTGGAAGGTTTTCCTTTTTGCCTTAGCAATTTATCCACTTCCTTAACCCAGTGAAATATTCAGCCCACAAGGAAAGTTTAGAATTAATGTGAGGCCTTGCTCATTTTGGTGAATACCTACTGACATAGTTACTATCAGTGATTCCAGTTTGTCTGCTATCAGTGCTGTGTTAATTACTACTTATTTATCTTTTAAAATAGCGCATATTTGCATCAGAGTTAAGCTATAGTTAAACTCATCATTAATTCTCAATTGTCGGATAAATACATGTTGACTCATTGAGTATAACTTATTTAAATTTTATTAGCAAATATATCTAATAATCTAATAATGAGTATCAACCAGAATGTTCTTTTCTCTTCCAGGTGGCTCTGGATTTGTGGGAAGATCTAAGAATTTGTAAAGAAGGTCAGAAAGAGTGGCTTATTAAAAAAATAAACGAGTCCCAATTTATCATCATTGTGTGTTCCAAGGGAATGAAATACTTTGTTGAAAAAAAGAACTGGAAGCACAGAGGGATAACCAAAGATGCAGGAAAAGGAGAACTCTTTCTGTTTGCTGTGTTGACTGTTGCAGAGAAGCTTCGTCAGGCAAAGCAAAATTCAAATGACCTCTGCAAATTCATTGCAGTCTACTTTGATTACTCCTGTGAAGGAGACATCCCTGGTATTCTGGATCGAAGTACAAAATACAAACTCATGGACAATCTCCCTCAGCTGTATTCACATTTACACTCCAGAGATGTTAGTGTACAGGATTCAGAGGTGTTTCCTGTTAACATTAGTAAAAGGAATTATTTCAGGAGCAAATCTGGGAGGTCCCTTTATGTTGCCATTTGCAATATGCATCAGTTCATTGATCAGGAACCGGACTGGTTTGAGAAACAATTTATTCCCTTGCTTCCACCTTCTTTACATTACTCAGAGCCTGTCATGGAAAAATTTGATTCGGGCTTGGTTTTAAATGACTTAGTGAATAAACAGGTGATGGATGGTGATTTTTACCTGAAAACAGATGTAAATATTATTTCATCTGGAAATTCAGACTCTCACTGTATAATTCAGCACTTAAACCTTCGAGAAGATATAGAAACTCAGGACATTCAAGGTGGTGGCAGCTCTGTTCTTCAGCCGTTGTTACATGTTGTTAAAGCTTCAGATGTTAAAGATATGCCTCGAGATTCTGGAATCTATGATTCGTCTGTTCCTTCATCTGAATTATCTTTACCTTTAATGGAAGGACTATTGACAGACCAAATTGAAACATCTTCCATTACAGGAAGCGTTTCTTCATCATCAGGTTTAGGTAAGATACAGAAGTGTTGATATTCAGTTATTGTAAGCCTATTTCTACTATCTCAAAATACTTAAGATAGTATGTGAGGAGCCATATAGAAGGCTGCAGAGGAAGGTATGCATTGTGTAAAGATGGTGAAAAAGATGGATTTCAGTAATTTTAGATAAATGAATCTTTTCCTTAACTTACTGGGGGGGGGGGATTCCTTAGCTAAGTAAGATTTCACTAAAATTATATTAATAAGTCACTTCTTGTTAATTGACGTGTTATTAAAGAGACTGCTTCTTTCTTCCGGGGACTCCTTGGCAGCTGGGACACTCAGCTGACAGCTGCGTGGTTTAATCAAGAGGGTGATGCGTTGAAGTGTTCTTACAGAACGGCCGTAAATCTAAAACTGACATCCTGTTTTGCTTCAGCACATACTGGAACCTTTAGGGATATAGTCTGTACTATGGTTAACTCAAGTTTCAGAATGACATTAGGCTTCTCATTGGATATGGGCCTGGTAGGAATGAACAAATGGGTTTCAGTTAAGGAATTTAAATGCTTGGATGACACTCTCCAACATAGATACCCATCTTAGATGCCTCCAGTTAGAAGGTGTAAATACTGCCTCAGGCTATATAAAAAGCTGCTGTGACCTTACTAGTTACAGTACATTGAACTGGCATCACAACTACATCAGTGTGGAATGTTCCAGCAGCTGTATTCATAGAATAAAACTGCTTTTTGCTGAGATTTTCCTTAAGCAGCTCCAAAAGGTGAATATTGCATTTAGATGATGTTATGCTGTTGTATTTTTGTGAATCAGTGTTGACAGTGAGCTAATTTGTTAGACTTTTCTCTTGGCTAAATGGATCATTTTTTATTATTATTCAGACAATTCATAACTAATATTTGGTGCCAGAATTCTCTTGGGGGGAGAGAATGTAGATGTTGGTTTACAGATATAGCATCTATATCTATAGGCTAGATAGTCTATAGGACAAAATAACTAAAACCTGAAAACTTTTCAGGTGGAGAAAATAGATTTACCGATTTAATTGCTTAAGCCACAAATACTCTGTTATTGTTTCAAAATTAATATTATATTCTTTCATTTCCTGCCATCTTTGAACATAGCCTTTTTTCACATTTGTGGGAAAAATTACAGGTGATATCTGTAAAAGTTCTAGTGTTGGATGCAAGTAGGATGCTAGTTTAAAATTTATGGCCTCTCAGTGAGAATGCTTTACCAGTATTCCCCTCCTGATTCAATCACAGAGCTGTCAGCTGGGTATCCCAGCTGCCGAGGAGTCACTGGAAGAAAGAGGCAGTCTTTGCAGTAATTAATTCTCAAGTCACATACCTACTTGTTAGCATGTTCCAGCTACAGAGGTTAAACATTATAGCACTAGCTGGTGGAGTTGGATCTTAACACTGATATTCCAGCATCTTGAGAAACCCCAATAACTTCTGCCATTTTCCCGTTTACTGTCCCTGCCCAAAAGCACCACTCTGACTGACTCTCACTCAACCCCCCCTCACCCAAACCACAGTCCTAATCATGTACAGGGTACAAAGGAGACAGTCTGTAGAACTGAGCATCATCTGCCTGTTAGAGTGCAACCCATTAAATCTTTTCTGTCACAGACGTACAAAATATTTGTAGGCCTAACATTTATATGCCTAATAATGAGAGTAGATAGAATTTTTTAGATTTTATTCTTGTTCGAAGAGTTGGACATGTCCAAATTATTGCTCTGAATTCACAGTACCATTTCTGTTCTGGCTACCTATTTTTTACCCATTACTTAATCAGAACAGAAGTGAACAGCTCTGTCATTTAGCATCTCAGTGTAGATCTTTCCTTTCTCTTTACAGGACAGTTTGATTTCATCTTTTGAATTGTAATCATAAGTCACATAATCTGTAATACTTTCTATGTTTCAGTGCAGTTCATGTGCAGACTACTGATCTGCAAAGAAAAGGTTATCGAAGAGATCACTATATTGGGCATTATCAACTGAAGCTCAAACCAGTTTAATTTTGAGGGAGTACCGATGACCAAACCTTTACTAGGTCCATTCACTAATAAGGTCTTCTCTAAGAAGCCCTGCCTGGGAGAAAATTTGTATTAATTCAGTAGATAAGGAGTTGCAGAGCTTGGTAGTTCAGCCTCGTGAATGTATGGCATTATGATCCAGAGGGTTTTCATAAGTTTGCATTCTTTCTAAAATGTTGATCAGATACAAAGGCAACGTTTCAATTAATGAACCTCTCTTTTTTTCTTTTTATAGGGGAAGAAGAACCGCCTGTAATCAGTGCTACAAAATTCTTAGTGCCTGGAATATGTAAAGCAGAACTTCATTGTCATATCCATAATGATGAACTGCAGGCAATTGCTCCTTTGTAATACATTACAACATTTTTATGCATTGCCACTTTATCAACAGCCTCTGTTTGTGCTTTAACTACCACACTGTCTCAGCACTAAATCTACTTGAAGGAACAAACACTCCCTGAGGAAGATCTGTGATTCCGAAGGGATTTTTTTTATGGCCAGTAAACTTGAATCTGTTGGTCTTTTATATAAAGTCTTCCATAATTTAAAAAAATGCAGCATGGAAAAATAGATGAGAATACATTTCAGAGTTATTCCTATTACTAATTAAAATGTCATGATATTACACTGTTTACAGATGCCATAATCAAAATTGACTTTATTTTGCTAGAAATAATCTTGCAACTGGACATAAAATAGTGTGCAACATTAAGTCTTAGCAAATTTTCTAGTCCAGCCTCTAGTTTTAAGTGCTGACATACTTGATGGCAGGAGTGTTGTAGTGAATGAGAGCATAATTTTTTTCAGAAGCAGGATAAAATGCCAAAGGTAAGATCAAGAAATTCTCCGTCAGAAGAAATCACTTTCTTATCAATGTCTGAGCTCCGTTCCTCACAGTATCCTCTCTTTTCCCAAATGTCAATGTGTCTCAGTATTTAATTTCAGATAAGTGCCTATCTCCCTCTTCTGTATGATTCTCCTATCTGTTCCCCACAATCTGGCTATAATGACTCATGAATAGTACCATACTGAGTCTGAAGTATCATTTTCAATAAACAAAAATATAGATCCTGCATATGCTAAGTGATACCATGGAAACCCAAGTATCCTGTTTTCTCCCTGGAAGGGCTAATATAAGGAGTACTTTAAAGAGATGGGAGAAGGAAGACCAAATTTTTTGTTTAAGACATCATTCTGGATTTGTTCAGCCACGAGATGAATATGCTTTGTGGGGGATTTCGTGTCGTCCTTCAAGGACGTGCTGCTACAAAATCACCTGGGGCAAAACCAGTTAAGAGAAGCAGTTAACAGGCGTGAATACTTTTATTTGTTTTGAGCCAACCAGTAAACGGAAGCCTATGAGTTATTTTGCAGTTATTTTTCACACTACATAGCGTTACTTAGTGATTAAGATAGTGTAATATTACTAGTGTTATATTAACAAAAAATGCTAAAACTACAACTGGACATGTTTATCTAAAGACACAGAGCATGCCTGTCCATCCTTTTGCAGTGACCACATAGGTCACTCGCATCATCCATCCCTGCCGTTTCCAAAGAGCAACTTCTCGTAAGTAAAACCCATCTGTGTAACTGCAATTCTAGGCACGATTATAATAAGCATGATAACAGCAAATAGTCAAGGACACCTTATCAATGTGCCTTTGCTAATTTTGCTCATGGAGTGAGATTCTGTCTTGATCCACCTGTCTTCACATTCTGCTAAACCTATTCCTAAAAGTTACCTTTTGGAATACATCAACTGAGAACTTGCACACCTCAAATATCAATTAGACATTGCTAACTCTTACATTGTATTATCTATTTTAATAGCATGAGATAGAACTATTAAACCAGTGAAGATTTGGATAACTGAGTAGCTTTAAAGCTCCTGTTTTTTTTTTTTTTTTTTTTCATCAGTTTATATTTAATCATTTGAATTTCCAAATAAGAGACTCTTAAAATTGTTGTCACAGATGGAGCAAGAAAGTACGGTAACAATTATTTGAACATAACCATCGATGGCAGAACTCTGGCATGCTTTGCAATTGTAATGTGGAATTCTGTGATCAACTAGATGTATGGGTCAGATTTGGAGGGCCTTGTTCTTTAATGTAATGTTCCTTACTCTTCCCATTTTCTGAATTTGAAAGAAATTTGAACTGGAAAACCTCAAACTTTCAATAGCTAAGTAAGTTGTAGGTAGTTTTAAGTACCTAGTGTGTAACCTGTGCCTTCAATGAGGGTTTTTTGGGGTTTTTTTTTGTTTTTGTTTTTTTTTTTAATGCTGTGCCTTGGCTGTACGGAAAGCAAAATTCTTTGTTTTCCCATTCTTTGAAGTTGAAAGATGCCTGGGTCAAACTGGGCAGAATAATCATAGAATCATAGAAAGTATTGGGTTGGAAGGGACCCCTAGAGGTCATCTAGTCCAACCCCCCCGCAGCAAGCAGGGACACCGCTAACTAGATCAGGGTGCTGAGAGCCCTGTCCAACCTGGCCTTGAGTGGTTCCAGGGATGGGGCCTCCACTACCTCTCTGGGCAACCCGTTCCAGTGTTTCACAACCCTCATTGTAAAGAATTTCTTCCTTATATCTAGCCTAAACCTACCCTGTTTTAGTTTAAAACCATTACCCCTCGTCCTGTCACTATTGTCTCTACTAAAAAGATTGTCCCCATCTTTCCTATAGGCTCCCTTTAAGTACTGAAAGGCTGCAATCAGGTCTCCCCGCAGCCTTCTCTTCTCCTAAGTGCTCCTCCACTAAATCCAGCTGTGAAAGATCTTGACTCAGTGCAATTCTTGCCATTTTACTAGAGAATGAGTTTGGATTGATCAGACACAGGCAGATAGGTTACAAAATTTGTGTGCCGAAGAGCTGCTGTGCTTAGAAATGCCAAAGCTACAAAACCTGAGGAGGAGGCAATTTCTTAGCAGTTCGCTGGTGAAGGTAATGCTGCTTTCCTCCATGGAAGGTTGCAGCTCATAAATGTTATTTTACTCTAGGCTAATGATTAGGAAGATCTCCTGGTTCTGTTAAATTCAGTAGCAGAATTGGTATTACTTAATGGAATTAAGTTTTCATTTTGAGCTCTAAGAAAGTTTTGAAAATGGATGAAGGCAGTTGCACAAAGAATCACTTGTCATTAATGGTTTTACTTGTATTTCTTCAAAATTTGCTGTACAATCCTGCAAATCTCTTTTTTTTAATTATAAAAAGTCTATGAAAGAAGAGAAAAGGATTCCTTCTTAGCGTAAGGTGGAAACAGCATATTATATGTCCTCAGAAGAAAGAGAGTATAATTAATTGAAAATTCAGAGTAGGACAAGCCCACACTTAAAATATACAGAATTGAGAAAAGTAATACTTCATCTGATTTAGCATAGTTTTTTTACAAAGCCACAGTGCTTTGAAAAATAGAAAACTATTATGTATATTGAGATGCTGGAAGGATGTAGTACTGAATTTGCAAGCATTCTGTATTTTCCCTCTAATGAGAAAAATGGCAAAAATCCTTGTAAAAAATATTAAAACAAGTATGTTAATACACACGTTAGAGGTTAGCTTACTACTGTTTTGAAGCATTAGTGAATCTAAACAGAATGTTAACAGTGAAAGGATCCCTTTAATTTCTACTAGACTCAGGTGTGTGGACATTGTTTGGATGTTCTAAAATGTATTTTCTCGGAGGATGGAAAAAACGTTAGAAAGCTGAAGGTTCAAGATATGGCAGCGTGTTCAGCATTTTGAATGATAAGTATAGTTGTTGGCCATAATTTGTACCTGTAGTAAACACATCAACTGTTGAAAACAGAATGCAGTTGACATTTGCAGAAATAAAATTCTTATGATACTGTAATTTAGAAATTGAAAACAAAAATAAAATGTTTTTGTTCAGTTTCTTCCATTCAGCTTGTTTTAGTAGTGTAAGAAGACTTGGCTTAAGAGTCCAGTTGTTTTATCCAAAACACTTTTAATGCAGTTATGCACGCCACACAAATAACCAGACTCTCTGACTGCTATTCACTCTACATCTGGAAGTGACACAGGTATTTTGATGGGTGTTTAATATAGTCAAGCAACTGTAAAAAACTTTAATTTTCTAAAACTTCTGTATTGGTCAGACTGGGTGTGGTTTTGTTTTTTTATTAAATAAAACTGTCTTAATATGATTTTATGTAATTATTGTTCCTATATCCTCCTTGAAGGTCTCCTAGCAGTACATGGTTCTGCATGTCAAGTGAAACCTATCCTCACCAACTACAAAACTACAATAACCTGGACTGAATTAATTTTGTCGAAGATGTGATAATTACCTAAGATTTATATGCATTTTGTTTCCATCCAAGTGGATTTCAAAGCACTGTTCCCGTCAATGAACCCTGCAAACTGTAATTTCAGGGATAAGACTTGAAACCACTCGTGTTCCTTATGTTGCTCAGGTAAATGAAGGTTTTTATAATGGACTTTTGGTCTGGCACAATCGAACTGAGAATGCTATAGAAAAATCTGTAATGAGTCTATAAAACTTTTTACTATTGAAATCTTGAAGTGCTTACTTAATAACAGATAGTTTGCATACACATTAGCTATGTTGAATTTACAGGATGATGTTTAAAGTGTTTATACCTGTTGTCTTTGGGTCTCTATCCCACAACTCCTGGTTCTGCACCTGTCACCAGGTAAATCGGAGACATTGTGAAGGGTCACTAAGCACGTGAATAGCTGCATTAGTAATTCAGAAGGAAATGGGATGTTCCTTCTCTGTATCTCAACTGGACTTCTTTGAGATCTGTTATCCATATGTATATTCTGCAGTCCTACTTCTGTATCCTCTCCTTGAAACCCTGTACGTGAGGGACTTTGTGGTTTAAAGAAATCGGAAAGAAGGTGTTGCTCTGTTTTTTTATACCTTCAGTTTAAAACATTGAGAATCTTCAGGATCCTTTCCTGACGTTTGGGAACTGTTGGCCAAAATTCTTCCACCTTGAGGATGTGGAAAGATATGCTTTGATATGGGGATGTGCATATGGATAATACATCTCGAAAAAACTTGAAGTAAGCTCCTATTTTTCTTTTTTTGTCTTACATTTAAATATTGTTGTGACTTGATACAAAAATCATCCACCAAAAAAAACCCCCAACAAACCCCATAAAACAACAAACAGTTTTTTGAGTTATAGTGAAAACCGTGCACTGCATACGATGTGTGCATTTGAACTGTAACTAGTCAGACCTGAATGATTTCTAAGAGGTCAGAAGTTAAAGGCTGTACTATAGATCAACTGATGGAATTTTTCCCTCTATCTGCTATAAATTGTTTTATTTTACTTGATGTCATTGGTTGCTGTTTCTCTGACTCATAAAAACCAGAACAATGGTCAATTTATATCTTTTATAACAGGATACAATTTCATTCTTCATTCTCTTAAAACTGATTTAATAAAGTCTGATTTACCTATGATGTTCATTTTTAGGGGCAGCTGCACTGTTGACAATGATTTCATATTTATAGCAGTCCATGGAAAAAGTAGAGATTGGTCGTATTGTCCTGTTCACAAAAAGCAGAGGAAAAGGAAATGTTCTTTCCTCGGTGTCAGATGTCACCTAGATGATCAGAAATTTAAGTGCTTGCCCATACCTACCTCAATGCTAAAAGCTCAGTTC